TGAAATGTATGACCATGATGCATATTCAGTACAACACTGAACAGTGCAATTGACATGAAATGTATGACCATGATGCATATTCAGTACAACACTGAACAGTGCAACTGACATGAAGTGTTTGACCATGATGCATATTCAGTACAACACTGAACAGTGCAATTGACATGAAATGTATGACCATGATGCATATTCAGTACAACACTGAACAGTGCAACTGACATGAAATGTATGACCATGATGCATATTCAGTACAACACTGAACAATGCAATTGACATGAAATGTATGACCATGATGCATATTCAGCACAACACTGAACAGTGCAATTGACATGAAATGTATGACCATGATGCATATTCAGCACAACACTGAACAATGCAATTGACATGAAATGTATGACCATGATGCATATTCAGCACAACACTGAACAGTGCAATTGACATGAAATGTATGACCATGATGCATATTCAGCACAACACTGAACAGTGCAATTGACATGAAATGTATGACCATGATGCATATTCAGCACAACACTGAACAGTGCAATTGACATGAAATGTATGACCATGATGCATATTCAGTACAACACTGAACAGTGCAATTGACATGAAATGTATGACCATGATGCATATTCAGCACAACACTGAACAATGCAATTGACATGAAATGTATGACCATGATGCATATTCAGCACAACACTGAACAGTGCAATTGACATGAAATGTATGACCATGATGCATATTCAGCACAACACTGAACAGTGCAATTGACATGAAATGTATGACCATGATGCATATTTAGCACAACACTGAACAGTGCAATTGACATGAAATGTATGACCATGATGCATATTCAGTACAACACTGAACAGTGCAACTGACATGAAATGTATGACCATGATGCATATTCAGCACAACACTGAACAGTGCAACTGACATGATGAAATGGGATATAGACAAGCACCAGGCTGTACACGGATGTCTATGATTCACTCGACGTGTATGCGCGACAGCTGGTGATCTCCATGAAGTGCAGTAGCAATGATGCCACTGTACAACTTACGCTTGATGAGTTACTCCTTTCGCTTTTTGCAACTCGTCTTTTGATTGTGGTAGTGACTGTGTTTGAAGCAGCAACAATCACTGTTGGGTCTAGCAGTGCTCCACTTTTACCATCACTGGATACCACATCGTTTCCACGTTGTTTTTAAGTGTGCTTCTGACCGATTTCCGGCGGTGTCACCTAAGTGTGTCTCTGTGTTATTCAGGGACCGATCTATAAGAATATCAAATGTGAACCACTGGGTGATTACATTCACAATGAATGTCACGTTACGCCAATGCCGTTGTAGATAATAGGAATGTTAGTATTCCTGTAACATTAAAACTACTTTGTTTATTTGTTGTTTAATGCCGCACTCAGCAATTTTCCAGCTATATGACGGCGGTCTGTAAATAAATGAGTCTGTAAAAGTATTTAAAACAGTACTGATACAATCAAAGCGCCTTGTGCAGTGGTAACTAAATTGATCGATATCGTGTTGTGACAGTATTATCCCCTTATTGTCAACACCTACCTATGTTATCTCACTCATATATGCAATTGTTGTTACTGTACTGGTAATCCCGCACCTACTATATATATTCTTTACTTTGTCCCTCATTCAGTCTTGCTTGACAACGGTATAAGGATCTATACCGAAACGTCACTTTTTACAGTGTCAAAGTTGTTATCCATAAAATTGTGTCTACCTTGTAATACGTCAACTTCTAGGTAATGCCTATCAAACAATGGATCGATATTATTGATTTTCTTTAAAGGGGACTAGACTGCGGCTTTTGGCAGTTCTACTTAGTTTGATTTAAGGTACACCGAAGTCACACTCGCTTTCTTTGTATGCCGACCCAATGAAATGCATGTCGACGTAACTGCATGAGAACACTAATTACAGAGAGACAATGATTCCCCACATTGCACGAATCACAACGACTAGACGGGCAATGGGCACAATGCTGTGGAACATAGTCTCCCTCATGTTAGCCGTGTCCCTTGCAGTGAGGTGGAATGGGGTTTATAGTCGCGTTCAAGATTCTTGCATAAATATACCGACGTGTTTGTGTGTCTGTGTGTGACTGCCTGTACGACTCCAGACTAATGCGGTTTTATAGTGCTAGCCTACTGAGATACCATACTGCAGTTCAACATGAATACCCATTCAGTCACAGTAAACTGACTCCGAGCCGACATACCTTGTTTCATCCCCTTAATACCGAGCGTCAGGTAGGGCAACAACAAGTAACGTAGTTTAACGTCGTTTGGTATGACGCAGCCTAGGGATCGAATCACTATTTAGTGCATAACAGGTGTTTCAGAATGTTACTGCTGATAAGAGTATACAAAGCGATACTTTGTTTAGAACATGTGGGAATGTTAATAAGTAGCCTGTGATGGACAGAGCGTGGGGATACATCAGAGACTGGACTTGTTCAGGAGAACCTTAATCAGTCGACCTGGAACACACATACTGTGCTGTCCATTTTCTCCGACACGGGCCCATTTCAAAGCCAAAATATACATTGTCGGTATTCCACACAATATTGCCCCGTAGGAAACCAGACAGTTCTGAGAAAGTTTCTGTGACATTTGATACTTACATCTAAGTACCCACCTCTCTCAGCTGTTACCTGTAACTATGCTACTTGTATAAGAGAACCAGCATTTAATATTCTCTGTGGAGGGGAGGAGAGAGGGTGAGACTGGTTTTGATATTGTCGACACTCGTTATCGATGAGTGAGTATGGTTATACGTCGAGGTCAGCACTTCAGAGGTCAGTTTATTAAATGAGTCTTGGACAAGAATACAAGTAGCTGTTTGTTTGTTGGTTGGTTGAACGCCGCACTCAGCAATATTACAGCTATGACGACCGGACCGGACCGGACAATCCAATGATTGACATCATGAGCATCGATCTACACAACTGTGATACGATGACATAGTAGCTGTTTCTATGTACAACAGTCTTACCCCGGGACACCGTCACACACAATCACCCAGGTCACTGTCACCACCCGATTTCAATCACTCGGCTCTAACGACACCGGGCGTTAACGCCGCACTCAGCAATATACCAGTTATATCACAGCGATCTGTAAATAGCCGAATGTGGATCATACAAACCAGTGATTGATATCATGGGCAACGACCCACGCCGTCGGGGTAAGATGCCCCGCAATCAAGCAAGTCACGGTGCTGACCACCCGACATATTGTATTGCTTCTTCCAGACAGCATATGTGTTCGGGACCTATTTACACTCGGAGCATGTGGCAAGTGTAAATCAGCAATGCGTAAAGTAAACGTACAGGGAAGAGCTGTTGTGCATATTTCATGCTGCATTTATATTTCCCGAACTGTTTTGTAGAATATAATACATATTTTAGGGGCACTATATGGTATGCTTAAGAAGTGAATGTACTCACTTTCAAACGACAGTTTACTAAATAGACTATATATTGAAATTTATAGACTTAGACTATAACTAAATTGTTTTCTGCGTTGCCGGTAGCGTATTGAGAATAAATATTGAATTACAAACAGATTATAAATTGACTCAGTTCTTCAACGTATAACCTGACATTATGAGTGCAAGTAATTTGTACGCATACATGATGTTCTTATCTTGTCTTTGGTGTCTGTCGTTTATACACACTAAAAGTTCTATAACAGTTGAATGTAGACAACACTTTCTTTGGGAGTATGTATCCATGCACCGTTTCAACGATAACGTGCAAAAACTAAATTAAAACACAACACAATATACTTCTTACGTATTATCCAGACTTAGGGAGCAATAACTGTGTATATAAATTAGACGAACAACCTTTTCATGAAGTAGAACACTCACAGACTACAAATGTACTGACAGTAATTTAGGTCCCCCTGCAGCCAGAAGTAACAACTGGAATAATCTGTCAATCTGGAAACGGCATGCATCACTTGTGGCAAATTACCTCTCGGTAGTACTCAACCTCATGATCAATCTGGCACGTGCTTTGGTCACGTGACGCTCGGTGACATTGACCTTCTGATTGCTTCTGCGCATGTGTCTCCATGACGCCTACCATCGTCAGGTGTATCAAGTTCTCCCGTTGGAATAAGTTGTGGCAGATCCTTGAGTGATATTTTATAGTTATGTCATTTCCATTACCTGTGTGTGTTGCTACACGTTCGTTAATGGTTAAGGGGTGGTTCAGGGCAGTTCCTCGCTTGCATTCAAAGTGCTTGCTTCCATTCGTAATAAAAGTTCATCTTACGCTCGAATCATGAAGCATTCCTCGGCTTTGTCCGTTTTCCGTTAGAGAAAATTGATTGTTAACTCTGCAGAGCGCAGGTTATACTTTAATAATCAAATGATCAACATAATACTCATTAAAAATTTCCATGATCAACGAAAGCTCTGCTTAAAGCAGGGTCCATTGTTCTATTCCAACTATATCATAAGCCTGTATCTATGAATCGCTGCAAAATAGTGACGATACCAGGTGTTCCCGTAAAGGTGAGCGTATTCTTCCCCACTCGTGACACCCGTCCCAAACACACGCAAAGGCAAGTCACCTGATAAACAAACACGAAACAAATGCTACAAGTCAAAATAGGAAATGCATCAGATATAATTTTTTGTCACTGTTCCGTATAAAATATGGAAATGTTCTCCGCGTGTGACGAAATGGCCAACATGATTTGTCATTGCTACTGGGTTTGTTCTTGTATTAGTCCGGACTGATACCGGTTTCATAGTCCGATCGTTTAGCGTCTTGTGGTATAACCCGGCTGAGGTTCGAACCACCGACCTTCCGCTCTCCTGGCAGACGCGCTATTCACTAGGCCTCAGAGGCGGTCTTCCACCAAAGACGAAAGCGTCTACAACTTGTGTCATATAGTATGTCGAACTAAAGACCTCCTTGTACGCAAACATACTCAAACATGTTCTAATTCATTTCAGAAACTGAAGGTGGTACCACAGGAGTCATCAACCTATGGATCCTTCTACACTGGAGACTCCTACATTGTTTTAAGTGTAAGTTTGCCTGGATTCCTCGTCACATAGTCCTGGTGATGAGCAAGTGTGCATGTAGTCATAAAAAGGCAATGATAATAACTACTTATTACTTTCTCATGTTCTTGCTTCATTCTATTTTTTGAGGTAAAGAAAATGTGTTTGAAGAGCATGTTAATATTCGTTAACCCCAGATAGTGATCATTTGGTGTAAAATGCAAAATAGTGAAAACCACTGATGAAACCAGGTTTTAGCAAGAAGGGTGAGCATGTCCTGCCTTACCGGTAGCACCCCCCACACACAAATACAAATACATTCAAATGTAAGTGTTTGTTGGTTGCCTAACTCCGCAACTCCTGACTGTAAATACTCGACAAATATAATTAAACGTTTATGTGGCCGGTGTGATACACGCTTTTACGCAACTGTGACATCCGGAAATAACGAACTCGAAGAAGCTTATAATATGACCCAAGTGGATTCAGGAATAAAATTGGATCCAAATATCTTAAGCTTGTCCTACAAACAGAACAATCTCATTAAAATCATATCTTAGTTCCCGCTGTCGCTAAACAAAGATATGAGGACATCCCATTAGGGGTCACGTCAGAACGACCTGTCATCCGACCAATCAAAGCGTCGCTTACCAGATCGTGAAAGCGATAGTCGGAATGTGTTTTCTAATCATGCAACCTCGAACACGTTAACAAGAGGTATTCCGAACGACTGATTCCGTCAAAATAATCGTCTGTCTCTCGCTTCCGTGGGATAAACATTTGAATGGAGGAGGCGTTGCACAGTACGTGGGAAGCACTGCCATACAATCTCAACCATATATTAGACAGTCCGTAATGTTCGTTTGTTCAGTTTTCAAAATCTTAATCGAGAACTGTGTCAACGTATTTTTCAAGCGTAGTCTGAAAAGGAAGTCGCCAGGTTGAAACGAGTGCCGTGAAGCTCAAGAGAGCTGCATTCTAACTGGCTGATGTTGACTTCTTGTTAGCCATTTCCGTAGTCGGTCAAAGTTCACGAAAGGTCGTTCTGACGTGACCCGTAATGGGATGCCCTCAGATGTTTGTTTAGCGGCAGCGAGAACTTAGATCTGATTTTCATGATATTGACAAACAGAATTGGCTCATTGCGTGTCATCGTTACCAATGGCAAGGAACCTTGCTTATACTTTCAATTGCTGGTTTACCCCGCGCATACAAGATTATCTACATTTGCTCACTCTTAACATCAACTTGGACATTCGCGTGAAACGAACCGTACATTATTACTGCTGGGGATTAAAACTAGTTCGTTTAACTGCTGCAATGTATGTGTGCAAATGTGACTGTCTTCAATTTACACCAGATGGCCTAATCTCCATTATTGTAATGCTCTTTTAACAACGGAATCGATTTAATTAAACACAACACAAATTAACATACTATGCTAAATGTGTTCAACCATAGACACAGTGTATACCTTGTAATAGAGCAATTACTTGTATGTAGATGCACATGTGTCCTTTATTGCTTTTATTGATCGCTTGGGCTAGCTGAATTTATCTTCCTGAAATATACAATGTTTGTTTGTTGTTTAACGCCGTACTCAGCAATATTCTAGCTATATAACTGGCGGTCTGTAAATAATCGAGTCTGAACCAGGCAACCCAGTGATTGATATCGTGAGCGTCGATCTACGCAATTGGAATACGATGACACGCATAAACCAAGTCCGCGAGCCTGACCACCCGATAACGTTAGTGGTCTCGTAAGACAAGCATGAGTTCCTGGAGATCAGTGATAACCTGGATCTTCAGGGGTCAACTATACAATGTTCCTTTTGATGGAATGTACATCCACAATGTCTCTTATGGATAATTATATATAATGTACATACAATGCATCCTATCATGTACTATGTGCAATACATACTAGTACATGCAATATATCTTATGATAGCACATATACATAAAATATATCTTATGATAGCACAAGTACATACATTGTATCCTATGATGGCACAAATAAATAGTATTACAATGTATCTTATGATAGCACAAATACATACAATGTATCGTGTGCTAGTATATGATCGCATCCGTGGTCTAGTGGATAAAGCGTTGGTAGGCATTTCTTTTATTCTTTATCTGTTGGTAGGCCATTGTTTCATACTTGATCTGTTGATAGGCCATTGTTCCATAAAATTATCTGTTGGTACATGGCGGCCATTATTTCATACTTAATCTGTTGGTAGGTCAAAGTTCATACTTTACCATTTGTTAGTCCTATGTTTCATACTTTATCTGTTGGAAGGCCATTATTTCATACTTAATCTGTTGGTAGACCATTGTTTCATACTTTATCTGTTGGAAGGCCATTATTTCATACTTTATCTGTTGGTAGGTCAAAGTTCATACTTAACCTTTTGTTAGTCCATTGTTTCATACTTTATCTGTTGGTAGGCCACTGTTTCATTCTTTATCTGTTGGAAGGCGATTGTTTCATATTCTGCCTGTTGGTAGACCATTGTTTCATACTTTATCTGTTGGAAGGTCATTGTTTCATAATTTATCTGTTTGTAAGCCATTGTGTCAGGTCTGTATTTGGTATGAAGTATGTGTGCAGTTTTCTTACCAACTGATCTTTTGCATCTAACAATTTCTACTGTCATTAATGGTGTGCGATGAATAAAAATGGCAGCTGTGAAACTCGTTGTGGAGCAGTGGCGTGGAAGACAACCAATCGCTCTTGACAGTGCAATAACACAGTCTTATCTGTCAGAAATTGTTTTTGTCAACGTTCATTTTCTGCCAAAACCCTTGACACATTTCAAGTGCATTGCATCAGGTTATCGAGTCAGCAATGGCAGAAAACAAACACACATTTCAGCGCAGTTTTATCGATGCACCCTGTGTCGACAATACTCAATGGTTACGAACATCCCGATCTTCCCGGTGAAGTAAACAAATTCACATACGCCGTGAGTTTTATATACCATACAAAAAATCGCAACAGTACAATCGTTAAAACCCAATTCCACTAACCAATCTCAGCAGTGCAGCCAGATTCAGTTACATATCGTATTATCTGCAACCACGATCGAGGCCACCTGAACGAAATTAATTAAAGTTGCCACCAATTTTCCCATCCTTACCCAGTTTCGTCCATGTCTATTGCCTGTTTCTATGTCTTTCTGTCTAGGAGACGGGCCACATTACGCCAACGTGGTGCCAATCGTCCTATTTTAAACATCATACTACCCCGAAGCAGCGACAAACTGATGAATGAATGTGGTTACTTCCAAGATGAGCCAGAAAAAAATATTGCTGGAGATTGAGCGTTCACGTTTTGGTGAACAGTGTAAATTAACTGAGTTATATTTTCTCACGGCAATGGTTTGTTTTAGAAAGTTTTCTAGTTCCTCTGCTTCTTTCACAACAGAAGATATCAGTGCACGAATAACATAGGCCTTCTTTGCCGTTCGTGGGCATAAGCTGTGTGTATTTTAACAACCATGTCAAAATGACTTGAAACATGCTTTGTCGGTTTGCAATGAGCAGGTTAAGTAAGAGAAGCTTGAATGCATATATCCAAAAACTGGCTGTACAGAATGTATTGAGATATGAGGATAACAGACTCTGTGATAGCTCTGGGATAAGGCATGGTGTAAGATACACTCTCGTACCGTAAACAATCATTTACAAAAACATCTTCCTTTAGTTTTGCTCAGTGGTCTTAACCGCTCTATAGGTATACAATTGTAAAGTTGGCTAACGTCAATTGACAGGTGACGTTATGGCACTGTATCTGGCAAATAGATGAACAGGACAAAACAGCAGTTCCAGAGTGTATGACCGAGGTGTGCAGGTGAACCATCTTGAATATAAAACAAATGGGACGCGAGGTATATTCACTTCCACAGAAACGTCAGCTCACAAATAGTATCGTTTACGCGACGCCGGTACAACACACCACTCTCTGATATGATCTTCTATTACCATCCTGGTTAACTTTTTATGGATCCATTCACCACATGTCGATATCGTTATTGGCACGTGCCACAGTGATATGAACATATGTCAATAACATCGTGCATCTGGGACAATAAGTTGATGTCAACATGATCTTGATATCCACATCGAAATTACAGAGCCTACGGATATACATTACGCATACTACACGAATGATGATAATTATAAGTGAAGTGCCGTATCAAATTGGCCCAGACTCAGTTTTTCAAGGCTATCTGAACGACCACTGCATCGAGTTTATTTGCAGTGTGTTGAGAAGATCAGCAACCCTACAGAGCCCTTCGCTTGGATGAGGTCGGCTGGCCTGAAAAGTAAAACAGGACCCGTCACTTCCAACTCGAAACCGTCAATACGTGATTTTGCATCTAAATGTAAATAGAGTGAGTGAGTGAGTGAGTATGTTTTACGCCGCTTTTAGCAATATTCCAGCGATATCACGGCGGGGGACACCATGAAATGGGCTTCACACATTGTTCCCATGTCGGGAATCGAACCCGGGTCTTCGGCGCAAATAGAGATTATGTAATGAATTTAATGAGACGGTCCAACACATTGTCAGTGGATGCCAAGCTTTGACACAAACACAGTATCTTAAGCGACATGATGTTGAAGCTCGATCATTTTATTAACGTCTTCGCCATGCTTTTGGTTTTAACACAGAGGTCCATCCATGGTACGACCCGGAATATGTCGAGAGCGTCAAAATGATAAATACAAATTTCTTAGGAATAGGCCCGTAAACAGCCCCAGACGTATCCAGGACAACAAACCTGATCTTGTCCTTTTGATAATTCCAATGAAATCATCTATATTATTGCATTTTCTGTCCCTTTTGACACCTATGTGATTAACAAGATTCAGGAAAAACATGGCAAATATGCGGACCTCGCTTTCGAAATGTCACGCTTGCATCTCAAGTACCAAGTTGTCCGACTCCCCATTGTCCTCGGTGCCTTAGGTTTGGTACCTCCCAGTCTGTTGACTGACATTGGGAGAGTACCCGGGTTTGCTACCAGGAATACAGCCCTTCTGGCAATCTAGGTAATGCAGAAGGCTACAGTGTTGGGGAGTCTTCACATTCTCCGAAAAGTTCTGGGTGGGTTTGACCAGGCAGCGCTTCCTGTGAGAAGTCCCATTCGCTCTCCCGGCTGCGAGTAGAGGGGGCAAGGGCCCTGAACTGATGATGAGCCTAACCAGCCTGACTGTGCCAGGATCACCAAAACCCTCTTTGCTGCATTTTTTATTTTAATCTGTACATCATCATCATCATCATCATCATCATCATCATCATCATAATGCTGGGTACTTATATTGCTCTGGCCTCCAAACGCTCGCTGCATGCTCAAAGCGCTACATTATAACCCCGGACATTGGATCAGTGTGCACTCGATTTTTCATTCTCAGCTCCCTTTGGGAGTATTAATCCCAAGCTAGACGCTAGAAGATGAAGAGACATCTGATCCCACCGGGTACCCACTGTTACTGCTGGGTGAACAGAGGCTCATTTCGAACAAAATCACTTGCCTGAGGAGACACCACATATACTACTACATGTGCTTCAGCGTGGGGCAGGACCGAAGCCCTAGAAACTCCCAGGACCCATCGAATTTCGTTCAAAAATGTTTTAACAGACATGTCTCATGAATATGATATCCTAATGATTCTTTCGGTAGAGATTTCATACGGTTGTGGAAAGGGCTTTGTCCCTCTTATTAAATGTAGCGAAACATTATATAATCTGAAAGCTGATACAGTAATCATTTAAGAGTATTTAGGTCTTGATTAGAGGATAAAAGCTATGTCAAAAGAAATTGTGTGTGTGCAGAACATACATGTTGAGGAAACGGCAGCACACGCGTGTCAAGTGTGCTTCCATCTTCCTAATGTGGTATCTAGAATGAAGACGTTAAGTATCGTCTAACTTGTTCATGAGGTGCTAACTGATTACACTCGTATCTGTAACGTGTAATGGTAATGTTCTTAAAGAATCTATTACACACCAAGTGGAAGCATGTGTACTAAGCTGATATAGAGGTGTTATGAAGGTTGGGCCTGTAACTTGTAATCTTCTTTAGGAATCTGTTACACTTCAAGGGGAAGCATGTGTACTAAGCTGATATAGAGGTGTTATGAAGGTTGGGCCTGTAACTTGTAATGTTCTTAAGGAATCTGTTACACTTCAAGTGGAAGCATGTGTACTAAGCTGATATAGTGGTGTTATGAAGGTTGGGTCTGTAACTTGTAATGTTCTTAAGGAATCTGTTACACTTCAAGTGGAAGCATGTGTACTAAGCTGATATAGAGGTGTTATGGTGGTTGGGCCTGGAGATAGAGTAAGGGGGTATTTTTGGCGTGACATGTTTTCAGATATCATGAAGAGAATAATTTATTTTTATGTTACTCTGTTTCCACTTACCGTTTTTGTAAATGAATTGTTGATGATTATCTGTGATGACTGACTTTGGAAAACATGTTAATATAGTGTCCATATGTGTATACTTGACACATGTTTTCATAAAATAATATATATTGAATATATGAAAAACGAAACACTGTCCAGATTCGATTATTTACAGGCTTCCGTGCGTAAAACAACATTCACTCACACTGTTGGTGAGTGGTCCTTCTTGAAATTACAAACGCTTTCATGAAAAGCACCTTTTAGTGTAACTAAATGTCGTGTGTTGGGGTTCAGTAATGGGCTCATTTTGTGAAGGTTGGGTTTGGATAATCGCACTGTTATATCACACATTCCTGACATGATAATGTGTTTCTTTCAGACAAAGGAAGTGCCAAACTCAAACAAGTTCCAGTGGGACGTGCACTTTTGGTTAGGAGACAGCACCTCACAGGTTTGAATTCGTAGATTTTATAATTCTACTAACAGTTATGTATCCTGTATTATTAATGATTTATATGAATAGGGCTGAGTACACAGCTGGGAGTATGACATTGCAAAGGTGAGACTACGTCAATACAGGCCAGGTTTGATTGCATGACAATTCAGAGATGGATTTATATTGCAGGTATGAAAGTGTACATTTAAATGTTTGGCAGATGTTAGGTCATGGCAGTATATCTACAATGAGATCAGATAATGGCACGCTGCTAATGGAATGTACATGTATTTGTTGAGTCACAATGGGTAGATATCTATCAATACTTCCCTTTTGCAAGACATTTATATGACTGCACAACTGTCCGCACCGCATGCAAAGGCAGATCACCTGTTTGTTCACCTGCATAAAAACACATGAACATATAGTACTAGTCGAAATAAGGAATTGCATCGGACATTATGTTTGGCACTAATGCGTCAAGCTGGGACATGTCCTCCACATATCTACGTCATCTTGCATCAGATGAAGATCTTACAGTCAGCATGCCATAAACATCTGCATGTATATTTATATTTTCTAATACCACGTGAATATACAGTTTGTCAGATATGAGATGAACTAAATCTAACAACATGCATGGTCACTCTCTCCCCAGACAATGGGGCTGGCTGGACAGGGGTTAATCACGTCATGGTTTATGCAGTGTATCGACAGTGGCCTTAAAAAGTAGTCAATGAGAGTCATGACCTTGGATTTGAAATTCTGAAACATGCGTGACATATACCTTAAATCAGCGTTAGTCTCAGTATCCACAATTGAGGAATCATATGATATAATTAAATAACACCCAAGGATTTCATTTTAGTAAATAACCCCTCAGATAATGGAAGAAAGGTCAAAGGTGTAAAAGACGTCAACCCATTCGGGGTATTGTTTATTTTTGTTTTGTTTTGGTTTGTGTTTTGTTTTTGATGTTTTTTATATTTGTTGTCTAACGACGCATCTCATTAATATTCAACTCTGGACTAGACAATCCAGTGATTGACATCATGAGCATAAATCCATGCAATTGGGGTACAATGCCTATCGATCCATTTAAGCGCCTCTTACGACGAGGTTGCGGCGTCATATGTTCTTACCCGGAGTCGGTGCTATTCTGTAAGGGTCTTGAAATCCGTATCTTTGAATCCGTGACGGAGTCCAATAGTGGAAGCGAAAATGTTTAAGCCCTTCAAAGCGTTTAAAAAATATAACGATAAAAACAGAATATAGCTACAGTACAATCCGTTGACGAAGTGAAATGAAGTTATCTTATGATATACCGGATAAGAAGCGACATGTAAATTAATTCCATATCCGAAGGACATAACTGTGTATATTAATGATTTAATACAACAGTTCACAATTCGTTACTCCATATTTCCAATTCATAATTTATTACAGCCGGATTTGAGTTAATAGTGGAATTGGAGTCTTTGGGTTTTCATTTATTCCCTCCATTGTGAATATAAGTGTATGTCGTTTATGAAAGTATTTTGAGATCACTTTTCTTAAATATTGTAATAACGTGTGGATTACGGGTTAGTATAGCTCCCTAGTAAACTATAATTGTCGTAAATGGCAATCAAGTGGGTCGGGGGATCTTGGTTGTGTGTCATTGCACGCCGACGACGTGGAACGTGGTTCATAACATCAGCCACTGGTTTGGTTGTTCCAGACTCCATTATTTACAGGTCATAGCTGGGAAATTTCTGACTGCGGGGTTAAACAACATTCACTCACTCACTTTTATAGTTAATGTCCTTACATTGACATTGTGTGCTTTTATCCAGGACGAGAAGGGCGTGGCCGCCTACAAAACAGTGGAGCTAGACGACAGCCTTGGGGGAGCCCCAGTCCAGCACAGAGAGGTGAACACATGCTCCATATCATTTCAATACTAAGCATCAGATTTGGAATAGAGACACAATCCAATGTAGCTGTTTGTGCTAGTTCGGACTCATGCCAGTTTCATTGTGCTAGTCCGACTGAGATACCATGCCGCGGTATAACATGGATACCCTTCTCCGACAAAGTATACAAACTCCGAGCCGAACGACAGGCAGGGTAACAACAAGTACAATACTTAAACGTAGTTTGGTTTGACGCGGTCAAATACCCAGAATACAAATACATATACGAAATAACATTTATAGGTAATGCATATTTCCCTATGTTAATACTTTGAAGCAAACAATTACAGAACTTAATTATTCTTAAATGTCAGAATAAATCATTTTAATTCCTCTGTCACATGATGCAAAAATGCAAATGCAAAAGAATGGGGTGAAATATAATCGATATCGACCTGCAAATATGGACATGTAGTGGTATGTTTGACACCAGGTGTCAGTGTATCGGGTTCTGCCACGACTGTAGGTCAAGGTTACTTATATGTTGGCCATATATCAATCTACAACTGCTGAAGTAAATGACATGTGTTTTTCTTTAGCAGTTCGTGCATGACAGCGTTCACAGTGTGAACCTCTAATTTGATGCAGATGGGTAGTAATGTCAAATGCAGTTCGACAGGGATTGCAATGCCTCTTTTGCGGGTAGCTTATAACAAACAATTGCCATTTGTCAGTATCTATCTTTAGCAAATGTGTTTGTGATAACGTAATGATATTGAAATTAATTTGAATGTTTCTGAAAGACGATGCCGATTGCGGTCTGCCATTTGTGCTGACTGAGATCGGTTTTCCATATCTCGACATCTCACCTGTTTCTGATCGAGAATCTATTCCTCCCCTAACGCTATCTGGAAATTTGTTGACCGATTGACTACAGGCAGAACAGGGTATCAACCTATCAACTTGACCGTGTGTATACATGTAAATTAACACCGCTGCATCAACTTGGCCGTGTGTATGTTACCGCCAGACTGTAAAATCAGTCTTTTCGTGACGTGACTAGTAGGATGAAATGAAATGACCGAAATATGAGCGTCTGTTTTACATTAACCGACTGATGCCTTCAGAAATCCATCTCAGATCAAACAAGACTCGCTAATTACTTCACGTAGTTGTTGAATGTCAATTTATTTGACCCATCTGTATAGTTCTAGTGAACAGAAATGACAGTCGTCGGTACACATGCTACGAAGAGTGATACTATCACTAAATGGTGCTAAACTCCAAAAAATACTTTTTTTAACACCACAGTATCAACTTGACGGAAGACAAACATATACAATGACATTGACATTGACATTGACATTGCAGTATATATTTTCATTTTACTGTATATTATAAGGTATTTTTGTAATTGTGTGTGTATATATATATATATTCAATACACACACACAATTACAAAAAGGAGGCAAATGTTCACTCGGTGTACATGTAATATATAATAATATAATAAAGTTCACGTTAGTCCAACATCTTCTTTATATCAGTTTTATATATACATGCGAATTAAGATCACAGTATCAACTTGACAGTATACATACATGTAAAGTATAATCACAATATTTACTTGACTAAACATATACATGTAAATTAACATCTCAGTAGCAACTTAACGGTATATATATGTTACTTAATATTACAATATCAACTTGACAGTATATACATGTAAATGAATATCACAGTATCAAATTAACGGTATATAAATATGTAAATTAAAATCACAATATCAGCTTCACTATATATATACATACATGTAAATATACATTTCAATATCAACTTGACGGTATTTGTATGTATAGATTAACACCACAGTATCAACTTCACTGTATATATACAAAAGTCATGTAAATTGATATCACAGTATCAACTTGACGGTACATAAACATGTAAAGTAAAATCAAAATATCAACTTGAGGTTGTATTCATGTAAATTAACATAACAATGTCAACTTGGCGGTTGTATACATGTAAATTAACATTACAATGTCGACGTGACGGTTGTATACATGTAAATGTATATTACAATGTCAACTTGACGACTGTATCCATGTAAATTAATATTACAGTATCAACGTGACGGTTGTATACATGTAAATTAACATTACAACGTCAACTTGACGGTTGTATACATGTAAATTAATAATGCAACGTCAACTTGACGGTTGTATACATGTAAATTAATAATACAACGTCAACTTGGCGGGAGTATTCATGTAAATTGATATTACAATGTCAACTTGACGGTTGTATTCATGTAAATTAATATCACAATGTCAACTTGGCGGTTGTATTCATGTACATTATATTACAACGTCAACTTGACGGTTATATACATGTCAATTAACATTACAACATCAACTTGACGGTTGTATACCTGTAAATTAATAACACAACGTCAACTTGACGGTTGTATACATGTAAATTAATAATACAACGTCAACTTGACGGTTGTATACATGTAAATTAATAATACAACGTCAACTTGACGGTTGTATACATGTAAATTAATAATACAACGTCAACTTGACGGTTGTATACATGTTTATTAATATATCAACGTCAACTTGACGGTTGTATACATGTAAATTAATAATACAACGTCAACTTGACGGTTGTATTCATGTAACTAAACAGCATTAAGTCAGTGGTATATGTACTCGTATACTCATCGAAGTTATCTCACAGTATACTGAATGAAATCCATTGGTAGCCTAGTTCATTGAATATGCTTCTGAAGCATATCTTAATAGCTTCTACATAATACAGCGGAACCCGGATCGTCAGATACCATGGATAAAGATCTCGTTTAAATCAAACTTATCTTGACATGTGATATGGCAGACATGTACAGTTGTCAATCAAGTTAGATACACTTGTCAAAGTAAGAAATTACATGCTGATTTCGATTAATGATTGCTGTATTTGCAAACAGATATTCTGTGAAGAGAAACTGTTGAAAACGATTGACTTCATCACCAGGTGTGTTTGTCTTTCAGGTGCAGGATCACGAATCTCAGCTGTTTCTATCCTACTTCAAAAAAGGAATTAGGTGAGTTAATAGATTCGCCTGTTTCATGGTTTGTAGATGGATGTCGACTGAGTGTGCGAGGGACCATTCTTTAAGATCGCATTCGGAATTATTCATTGAAGTCGGAAATAGTAGGGTATAGTGGCAAATGTATCACAGCGACCTGTATATAACCGAGTCTGGACATGCAAAACAGTGACTGATAGCATGAGCAACAATCCAGGTATGACACGTAGTTACAGGGTCTGACCTGAAGACAAGCACGTGATACAAGGGAGATGACGACTGAATTAACCCAACTACATAATACCAGCCTAGTTCGGCAAGGGTGGAAACTGGACTTTTATGGTCAGTTAACTCTCTTGCCTCGGGAAGATGAGCAGTGAATGGCAACTAGGGTTTTAGCCGGCTTAGAGAGCTGAGAATGAAAATTAAATGCACACTTATGTATTGATCAGGGTAATAATGAAGAGTGTGGATGTGGCGCATTATACATATGCACGCTATCATTAATGCTACTAGTTATCTGCGCGGAATTGAGATTTGAAGAAGTGAGAGATTGCTAACAGTCATATAACTCAACACTCAAATGGGGCCTTTGTATAAAATATAATGAATACATGACGCTTTTTTATGGCTAGCAACTTCTTTTATTCTTAGTACGACGTTTCAGACGTTAACGCAACACAGGATGGTGAGGTGAGGTGAAATGGGGTTTAACGTCGCGTTCAAGATTATTGCACTTATATAGCGACACGTGTGTGTGTTTGTGTGACTGCTTGTACTAGTCCGGACTGATGCCGATTTATAGTGCTAGCCCACTGAGATACCATGCCGCAGTTTAACATGAATACCCCATTTAGACACAGTATACTGACTCCGAGCCGACCAGTCCTTGTTTTAGCCCCTTAACGCCGAGCGCCAGACAGGGTAACAACAAGTACCATTTTTAACGTCTTTTGGTATGACGCGGCCGGGGATCGAACCCCGGACCTTCCGCTCTCCGGGCGGACGCTCTACCACTGGACCACGGAGGCGGTCCAACACAGGATGGGATAGGTGTACAAAGATAACAACATAAAGACAAAGCTAATGACATAGACATAGGATTAATATACAATGATAACAATATAATGACAAAATCAATGACATAGACATAGGATTAAGGTACAAAGATAACAACATAAAGACAAAGCTAATGACATAGACATAGGATCAATATACAATGACAACAATATAATGACGAAGCCGATGGGATAGGATTAATGTATAAAGATAGCATTATAATGCCGAACCAATGAGATATACAGGAGAGGATTAATTAAGTACACTGAAGTGTAGTGGTGATAAGGATCTGGCTATAATGACTTTATATCTCTGCCTACAATCAGCAAGGTTGAAATACAATCATATCACAAAGTATAATATTAAACATTTAATAGATACCTCTTGGACACGAGAGACCAAATGGCAAGCATGATTTGTGGTTGCCAGGTTCTGCAAGTAGTGCGTTCGAAGCCAAGATTCTTGATCCTTGGTTTGCTATGTGCGTGTCATGCCCGTGCTCCTGGGTTTCGCTAAAGTGTTAAACGTCTTGGATTTGTGTCCCTGTGGGCTTTACCCATTACCAAAACGAAATAAGCCTAAAATACCCGCTCACTCTTCACACACTGAACAGCGTCGATCGTTACACTAGTTTATGTAACACTGATGAAACGTATGCGTGCATATATTTGTTACTGCAAAAACAATCTGTATTTACCACTGAATATTACATCAGCTGTCATGTTAATCGACGTAAATCACAAAATGATATTACATGTGCAATAAAACAGTAAACTACCTACACGTATAGCATGCGAGATTATAAAACTGATAAATGTTCATTAGAGTGGCTCATATATTGCGATTAGAACTTCTAAAGAAGCACGCCCATTTCAGACAGATGCAGTTAACTACCGATAAATAATTACATGTATGTTCAGCTTTCAATAAATTTCAGTCTTCTTCAAAATTGACATGTAACGGTTTATCTGTGCTTCAAATCTGGGAACATGAGCTTGCGTTTTTTAATTCAGGGCTTTTCATGTTGAAGATTTAGTTGTTGAGAGGAGGTGATTTAAACCGGATAAGTCACCGAAGCGTCACATGTCTTCAGCATTATTCCCGTTGAAGCCTATGTACATGGCTTCAAAGAAAGGAGTATTATTTAGTCAAGTCATAAGGTTATGCAGTTTGGCAAGAACGAGTTACTCTTAGTAGGGCTTCAAGTAGAAATCTTTCACATGCAGCACAAACACAAGTTAAACCTACCAGTGGATACGAAGCAAAGCACGTGTCAGAAATGTACATTTCAAGCTGGAACGAAATGTACATGTTAACAACATGTGTTCTACTGAAGGATGTATCCAAGTCCAAACGCAATTAGCAACATTCCGGCTGTGACTTAGTCTCTATACAACCTGGGACCACGTTCTAATTGCATCAGGTGAAACGACCATGCCGCTGAAGACGTCGCTGCCAGCAACGCCAATTGCCAAAACCATAACAAGAACACTGATACATATACAACTACTGAACAGAGCTTACGAACCCATGGTGTTCAGTAGCTGCAGAGACATCAAAGCGTCTTTGGCATAAGATAAATTTTGTTGTATTTTTAAACTTGTTCTTTCATTGTTCTTTGTGGCTGCAAAAATCTTGTAGAGTTGGATTACAATAATGGACTGTAGTATTGTCAGTGTTTACACAATAAATGTAAACATGTGTTTCACAGAATTTGTTTGCGTCTTCCGAGACATACTCATTACTGCATTTCGCCACCGCTAACGAAACATGGTCTTCTATTTGCAAGACATAGTTAGCTTTGCGGGCTTAATTTACGCTCTTTAAAAAGACATCGGTTAATTTGTACTCTTTCAAATATCGTAAGAATTGTTTGAAAAAAGATCAAAGAAGATTTTTTCTTATTTTTCGGATAATAGAGAACAGAATTGTGTAACAAACATGCAACACGTTTCCTAAATACGTCTGCATCGTGTATATAAATAAGACGACATAACCCTTTCCATATCCAAAAGAAATCTCTGCAAAAGAAGAAAGAGTCGATTGTACGATTCCGACTATATCATGTGTTTATGAATCACTATAAAATAGAGGGGCGGTCGGGTAGCCTAGTGGTTAAAGCGTTCGCTCTTCACGCCGTAAACCCGGGATCAACCCCGACATGGGTACAATGTGTGAAGTCCATTTCTGGTTAACCCGCCGTGGTATTGCTGGAATATTGCTAAAAGCGGCGTAAATCCATACTCACTCACTCACTATCAAATAGTAAGGATACCAGGTGTACCCTGCCCCACCGGTGGCACCCGTCACAAACACATGCAAAGGAAAGTCAATTGTTCATCTGAAAAAACACGGCGACATATTGTACAAGTCAAAATAGGGAATTGCATCGGACATCACTTTTGTCACTGATGCGTCAAATTTGGAAATGTCCTCCACATGTCTACCATAAAACTTTTTGAAAGATTTTCTAGGGCCTTGACTGTTGTAACCTTGATCAAACAATGATGTTGACGATGATGTTGGCATGGTAAAGAAGAACAGTTTATGAGTGGTGCAGTCACTCCTTTCTGATTCAGAACATCGACATCATCTTCTACTGGCGTATATATATATACGTTCTGATGCAGTCGGTTAGCTTAGTGGCTAAAGTTCAGTTTCGTCTTGACTAAGACCCAATTCGAATCCCCACATAAGTACGATCTTCAGAATGACTGTATTACCATAAAGATAAGCAGAGAAACAACAGATAGATCGGGATGCATCACTGCCTCGTATGTAGTCTACTGCATTATTATCATTATTCTTTTGAGTGGTACCATATAGGAAACGACACACTTTTAATCGTACCAAATTATTAAAATAACGACGAATCCATATAGAATCCATATCTTTTATCATTTATTTTTAAAACAGTTTAGGGGACGGGTCGGGTGACTCAGTGGTCTAATACGCTGTGTTGAGTTGTTTCCCTTACTTCTACCAGGATCCAGTATCCCAGATATGCCCCAATGATATATGAATCTCTACTGTGGTTTCTTTGCACCACACCTGAGCTTGGAAACATCCATTGTCTGAGTAACTTCGGGTTTTCCTCCCACAATAAGCTGAAACACAATAACTGAAAATACTGTTCAAAGCAGCGTGAAACCCATACACTGAATACAAAGAGAATTCATACGATAATTATATATCACTTTACCTTAGTCATTTTAGCTCTGTAGACGTTAAAAGTAACTTCATGATACCCTGGGGCGGTAGAGTAGCCTAGTGGTTAAAACTTCCCCTCGTCACTCTGAAGACCCGGGTTCGATTCCCCACATGGGTATATGTGTGAAGCCCATTTCTGGTGTCCCCAGCCGTGATATAGCTGGAATATCGCTTTAAAAAGAGGCGTAAAACCATACTCACTCACTCACTCTATTTAAGGCACAATATAACCAGTCAGGTTTCTGGTATCACGTTACATGCATAATATTCCTGAGTCCATTTTCTAGATATTTAGATGGCGGGGTGGACTCTGGCTTCAAGAAAGTCGAGCGAGACAAGTATGAGACCCGGCTTCTCCATATCAAGGGCAAGAGGAACGTGAGAGTGAGGCAGGTAGGGTGTTTGTCGTCTCTTTACATATAAACAGTCCGGTAGTTTCTTGGTAGTTCATCCTGACGCAAACACCTGTTGGATCCCCATGAGGTTAAACTCCTAACTATTGTTATCCCTATTTTGTGGATTCTAAATTACTGGTTTACGTGTACATCTACGCCATTCCTTTAATCAACTGTTAAAACACTGGCTAAACAGGTATCATGTGAATCACACATTCATCATTCTTTTGGATATGATCCATAGTTTGTCAGCATTATATATACATTGAGTTTCACCATATTGTCACACAACTTCATCTGCATGGTTTTATTCTTTTTAAATAATTTGATTTAAAACTTTTAAAAGTTAAAAAACACACAGTACACAACTGCTTATGGGTATCTTAGACGTCTTATCTTTGAAAATTAATATTTTTTTCGGTTCAAGTTTATAACATTTTAACATGGTTATTCACATAACCAATTTATTTTTACATAAAATATACTGTTGCAGGAATGATGGTTAAGTAAACATAATCAGCTTTAATAACAGTTCTTTCAATTTTCAATGACATTTAAAAAAATATTTATTTCTTTTGTCCCTCAGTACATTTTCTTGAATCATGCATCAAAGATGGAAATTTCGCTGCAAGCATAAATGTCGAAGTTGAGGGATAGCAGATATGCATGGTCGTTATTTGGAGTATACATGTATGTTGTATTTGCATGAAGTACATTATTAAGGATAGGTTTCATGAACTAATGTCCTTCATACTTGCCCAGGTCAAGTGTGACGCCAGTTCCTTGAACCAAGGGGATGTCTTCATCCTTGACTGTGGCCTCATCATGTACGTGTGGAACGGCCCGACAAGCAGCAAGATGGAGCGAATCAAAGTAAGACTTACTGGAAAGTCTGGTGCACCGTCATCTGCCATCTTATATATTTAGCACCTTTGGAATTTTGGGATAGAACAGATCCCCTGCATCCCATGACTGTGGAAGGAGTGGACGAATGAAAACTTCTTCTTTTTTCTTTTTTTAACGTCGCACACAGCAATATTCTAGCTATATGGCGACAGTCTATAAATTATCGAGCTTTGACCAGACAATACAGTGACTGATATTATGAGCACCACTATATGCAATTAGGATACGATGACATGCATCAACTAAGTGAGCGAGTCTGACCACCCGATCCATTTAGACGATCCTCTTACGACAAGCATCAGAAACTGGGGTCCGGTATTTTTACCCTGAATAACGAAGACTTAGTGGCAACAGTGGGTGACATCATTGCACATTGTATGTCATCGTGCACCGACGGCGTGGATCGGTTCTCAATCATTTGTATGCCTAAATAATCCAGACTTAATTATTTACAGACCGACCGAAATATAACTGGCTGCGAAGGATATGAAAACATAACTCTAATTTACTTTTTTTTAAAAGGAAAAACGTTTTCACTTGTCTGTGGTGAGGGTCAGTTATGCAAAAAATGTCATTATTTAGTTTGAAACACATGTGTAAAGTCCGATATACAGACATGGTATAGCATCATATCATAGTCATGATGATGATGATGATGATGAGGAGGAGGAGGAGGGGGAGGAGGAGGAGGAGGAGGTGGTTATAATGTGTAACCTGGATGACTGTATTCTTACCCCGACCATGTGGGGATTTGTTTATGATGTCTTCCACAAGGCAAATTACACGAGTAAGTGAGTTATGTTTTATGCCCTTTTTAGAATGATTGAAGTCACATTAAGTTCTCAGGGACATGTATCTAACAGCGATGTTTCCTATCGTTCAGTAAAACATTTACTGACTCCTTCGTAAACAGAACAAGGCGATTGCATGGTCAGAGTGGTTGCTGATCATGGGTAGTTCGTTCACTAACAGCTTTGTGATTGAGCACCTCTGTTGTGGTCTGGCTGGTGTAGTGTGTGGTCTTACCCCGATAGCGTTGACCAATCTGTACAGTGTTGGTTACCAAGTAGGGCCGCAGGTTTCATGATGAGCATGTTTTATGTATGATAGTGACTAACTTGGCGGATGTTTACAGGCTGCAGAAGTTGCAAAGACAATCAAAGATGAGGAGCGAGGTGGGCGAGCCACAATCAACATAATCGGTAAGTCCTTGTACATTCCAAATCTCATCACTCGATTCATCAACCATTTCAACCAATCAGTATATTTAAAGACTATCATTGGATTTCCATCTTACATTGTGTTTAAATGTACATACCAACCCTTTCGTGACGTTGGTTGTCCTATATGGCTGTTCATACGTCCTCGAGACTAAATTTGTAGTCTTTTAATATACCTACACGAGTTATCTCCCTTGTCCTCGTATCGAGCATGAAGGTAGATTTTACACAGCTCACTCGACGGATAACATATTTAGTGAGTGAACTGCGTTTAACGCCGCTTTTAATAGTATTTCAGTTATATCACAACGTGTCAGCGTATTGTAGGAGGAAAGCCCGAAGTGATGCAGGTTTACCATTTTGGTGAACCCCATGAGCACGGGTATGGTGCTAAAAAACTTAGAATTTTAATCGAGGTGAATCGGGATTCCGACCCACTATGTTTCGTTTCTGGCGTGCCAGAGGGACACAACTCTGAACAGCGAATTGCGGCGCCAACGGATAACATAGAAATAACCGTGACGGAATGTGAGGATGAGAGAGACACTGACAGAGCGAGAGATTCTGCATGTAATTCAGACATAACACGTAAATAATCAAAGCTGTCAGATTGACATGTTCACAACAGTCATGTTATTGGGGGCGGTGGGGTAGCCTAGTGGTTAAAGCGTTCGCTCGTCACGCCGAAGATCCGGTTTGATTTCCCATATGGGTACAATATGTGAAGCCCATTTCTGTTGTTCCCCTGTCGTGATATTGCTGGAATATTACTAAAAGCGACCTAAAATACAACTCACTCACACATGTCATTGAACGGGGAAAATGATCTAAATCACAATTGTTTGATGAAACTGACAGCAAAATTAAATACCCATTATGTGTTTATCACCGATATTCATTTATTGCACTTGTTCTAATTCGACATAAATCTGGTTAAACTAGAGTGAAACGACATGCTTACGCAACCTTCGCTAAAAATCAACTTGTTTGCTGCATGTCTATCCAAACTGCCGGGGAAATAATGTATGCACTTGAAAATTGGATTTGACACACAAAAAACGTACACGCGTTAAAAAGGGTTAGTAGGCTGAAAACAGTCGCCGAAACACTTCAAACTTATGGTACAAAACATAGCTAGATACAAGTATCAAATACATCCTCATCGAGTTAACCATTTCTTGTTTGTTTCTTGTACAGCCACCATTAAACATGAGGTCATACCTTTTTTTTCCCTGCAGTTCAGCGGGTACGAAAGCATATTGGGTTCAAAATTGAAATATGGAAAAGACACGAAAAGAAATTCGTTATAACGGAAAAAAGATTCGTTATTACGAAAATAAATTCGTTATTACGAAAAAAGGATTCGTTATTACGAAAATAAATTCGTTATAACCGAAAAAAGATTCGTTATTACGGAAATAATTTCGTTATAACGAAATTATTTCCGTGATAACGAATCTTTTTCTGCTACAACGAATATATGTTCGTAATAACAAATCTTTTTTCCGTTATAACGAATTTCTTTTCATGTCTTTTCCATATTTCAATTTTGACCCCAGTAGGCTTTCGCAAGCAGGTAACGATCACGCCAATTCCACAAATACAATGAGTCAGTGTTCACACTAGAGCAATGTCTGGACCTGGGTGTGTAACATCATGCGGAGTCCCCCTTTAAAAGATCAGGAAGTTGTAATTAATCAGAGCTACCCTATATTATCCTACAATGTGCTATTACCCAAGTTTTATAACATATGGTGATTCATACAAAATGCGCTATAAACAACGTACGCATATAGGAAGAATTTTGCTTTGACAGAATCAAATGTTTAACTCACATATAAAATTTAACATGCCTGTATAAGCAACACATTGCACATAACCGCGTTGACAGTTTCACTGCCATCTAAAATCAAGTATAATTTATCATCTGAGCACTCGTTACCCCCGTTTGACATAACATGGACACACCCTGCCGCATCGATTAACTGTCTAAACCTTTTACTTGCAACATACATGTACGATATTAGCCCTCAGTAAGTGGTGGAACCCGGGTCTGTCCCAACACGTCGTTGGAACATAAGCCTGACACAAACACTGATAAAAGTCCTCGAACCTTTATCTGCCCTAGTCAACAAGATGAATAACGGCCAGGCTAACAATACCAGGGCCCACTTGTACAAAGCGATCTTAGCCCTAAGATGATCTTAACTCCCATGCTTTAACATAGGCTAAGATCGCTTTGTGCAAGTGGGCCCAGAAGCCTAAATACACACATTAGTTGAGGCCAAACTTTTTAATTTTTTGCTTTGAGGATTTTATCAAATATATCATTGTCAGTAGGTTAGGACAATTTATCAGAAAGACAATTCAGATTAATTTGTTTCGTATAATAATTTGTCATGTGAGTTAGTCTTGCCGTTTAGCCAAGTATATGGTAAAATAATAACACGTGATCGAGTTTTATTCGACGATATACAATAAGTATTGCTTTTCAAGTTTTGTTTCTCCACATTACTATCGGGTCGATGGAATCCGTGAAGTGTTATTTTACTACGTCTTGCCTTAAGGCCAAGCTTCCGATTCACTGATTTATGGACTCCAAAAATAAAGCGTAAAGCCTATTATTTATACCGTGTCACACTTATATCCAATATTTATAGCCCCTAATATATTTACACCCGTCCCTTAGGGTTATATGAGGCCCCTCTTATAACCTATACTGGTCGTACGAGGCGACTTAATGGATCGTGGGGGGTCGGGTAGCCTGGTAGTTAAAGCGTTCGCTCGTCACGCCGAAGACCCGGGTTCGATTCCCGACATGGGTACAATGTGTGAAGCCCATTTCTGGTTCCCCGCCGTGATATTGCTGGAATATTACTAAAAGCGGGTGATCAGGCTTGGTGACTTTGTTGAATGCGTGTTTTCGTACCCCGACAGCGTGAGACGTCGCTCATGATATAAATCACTGGTTTGTCTGGTCCAGACTCGATTATTTAGCGGCAGACGTGATATAGCTGGCGTTAAACTGCGGCGTTAAACAACAAATATATTTACACCAAACTCTTTGCACAGATCAGTTTATAGTGAATGTGGTCTCTCTTAATTTGTCACAACTCGTTCATGAATATTTGCCAACACACTTTATAATCCAAAACGACCCGTTAAGATCCGGGGTAGAATGGGTCTTCTGCAACCCATTCTTGCCGTAAAAAGCAACTATGCGTGTCGTAAGAGGCGACTAACGGGATCGGGTGGCAGGCTCGCTGACTTGGTTGATACATGTCATCGTATCCCAATTGCGTGGATCGATGCTCGTAATGTCAATCACTGGATTGTCTGGTCCAGACTCGATTATTTACAGACCGCCGTCATATAGCTGGAATATTGCTGACAAACAACAAATAAACAGACAAACAAACAAATATAATCCAAAACAGGTTTCCACAGGAGATATGAGTGGCCTGTAAAGTCATACGTTGTCAAAGCTGTATGTGTTGTGGTATACTGAGGTATGTTTCGAGATCAACGCGCCCATCTGTGGACGGGCGTAGGGAGCTGACATATCTATTGCACATTTTATGCGTAGGGTGGTTGTGAATCGAGTACTCATTTTGTGCATAGAACTCACCTGAGTATTCACACTTTGGATTTAGCACACCTGAGCATTCACACTGTGGAAAAAACACACCTGAGTAGTCACACTGTGCATATACCACACCTTAGTATTCACTTTGTCCATATACCACACCTGAGTATTCATGCTGTGGATATACCACACCTGAGTATTCATGCTGTGTATATACCACACCTGAGTGTTCATATTGCGCATATACCACACCTGAGTATTCACTTTGTCCATATACCACACCTGAGTATTCATGCTGTGGATATACCACACCTGAGTATTCATATTGCGCATATACCACACCTGAGTATTCACTTTGTCCATATACCACACCTGAGTATTCACACTGTGCATATACCACACCTGAGTATTCACTTTGTCCATATACCACACCTGAGTATTCACACTGTGCATATACCACACCTGAGTATTCAAACTGTGCATATACCTCACCTGAGTATTCACACTGTGCATATTCCACTCCTGAGTATTCATGCTGTGCATATGGACACCTTAATATTCAAACTGTTCATATTCCACTCCTGAATATTCATGCCGTGCATATGGAACACCTTAGTATTCATACTGTGCACATACCACACCTGAGTATTCATACTGTGCATATTCCACCCCTGAGTATTCATACTGTGCATATTCCACACCTGAGCATTCATAATGTGCATATTCCATACTTGAGTATTCATACTGTGCATAGTCCACACCCGAGTATTCATACTGTGCATATACCATACCTGAGTTTTCATACTGTGCATATAACACACCTAAGTATTCATACTGTGCATATTCCACACCCGAGTATTCATACTATGCATGTACCACACCTGAGTAATCATACTGTGCATATACCACGCCTGAGTAATCATACTGTGCATTTAGCCACCTGAGTATTCATACTGTGCATATAGCACACCTGAGTATTCATACTGTGCATATAGCATACCTGAGTATTCATACTGTGCATATAGCACACCTGAGTATTCATACGGTGCATATACCACAGCTGAGTATTCATATTGTGCATATATCACACCTAAGAATACATACTGTGCATATATCACAAATGAGAATTCATATTGAGCATATGCCAAACCTGAGTATTCATACTGTGCATATAGCACACCTGAGTATTCATACTAAGCATATAGCACACACGAGTATTCATACTGTGCATATAGCACACCTGAGTAGTCATACTGTGCATATACCACACCTGAGTATTCATACTATGCATATATCACACCTGAGTATTCATACTGTCCATATACCAAATGTGAATATACGACGAACAAATGTATTTATAGAACACATGTGAGTATTCATATGACACATGTTAGTA